ATATATATATATATATATATATAATTGAATTGGGACTGTATTTTACAAAATATTATTCCACTGAAACACAGCCAAGACAGGTCACTTTTTAAAGACTAAAGGCCAGTTTTATATTATTGGATATGGTAACATCAGAGCTTAAACGTCAATATAATAAAAATTATATGTATATGTATTATATGTATATAAGAGGCATAATTTATATCCTAATTTTTAGTGTTTACAAGATTGGTCAAATCTACTGAAGCCGTACAGAGATTTGTTAGTGAAAATAACAGATAAAATATAACTTTTTTTCTTAAGAAATGTCTGATAACTATCTGGACCTTATAAAGATTTTGAATGTGAAATTTGAAAAGGCATGAGTAACACATTGCTTAACAAACCTTAAGACTTAATAAAAAAATAAAAAAATTAAAATAAAATAAAATATTGATATTTTGCTTATGAAAGCATTGTAATGTTTACTGAAAATCTGCCAAATTCCAGTAACATATGCTTACTAATTTAAAAGTTATAGCATTAAATCTATAACAAACAGAAAATGGTTACAAGGTCGGTCCCAGGGACTGAACCCGTGCTGAAAGAATTAATACAAAGGTTTTTATTTCTAATATATATAGTAAACCTGTTTTCTAATGTTCTTTATTTTCTCTTTATTTGGTATTGGACTGTGCTTCTAAAAGATGATTTGAGTGTACTATAAAAATTAAACCAATTATTCAAGAGCGGGAAAAGAATTATAATTGCTAACTGGACAAGAGTGCCAAATGTAGTGATAATAAGTTTTGAGCATTGTGAATAATTATTCATCATTTTTTGTGATGCTCACTATGATGTAAGGTTTTTGTGATGACCTATTTTGCTTAACTGCAGAAGCTAAGGTTTAAGTGGGTTATTGTTATCACAAGATTACTGATCTCTTATTTCAAGTTTGTTGCAGTTTTATTTTTCTGGATTTTTACTTCTGGTATTGACTAATCTTTCTTGATTTCTAATGACATTGTTAATTATTCTATAAATGTTTGCATCTATTAGGCAACTTGTATCATGTATTCGGCTGTTGCTGAATTATTTCATAAAGTATGTTTACAATTAAACATTTTTTATTATTATTTTTACTTGTTAGTAATGATTGTTCAATTTATTGAGTGGTTTTGATATATTAATATATTTTTGGGGGGAGGTATTTAATACTATTTTTAAATTATTTGATTTAGTTTATTGTAAGTACATTACTGAAAGGTTAGTTAGATGTGGGGAAAGAGTTTGGTGTTTGTTTTTAATGGTTGATTATCATTTTATTTAACTCTCATGTTTACTAGTAAGTGATGAAATTAAACACAAATTATTAAATTTTTTTTTGTGTGAGATCTTTGAAGAATATAATCTTTGACTTTACAGTTTATCTCAAAAATAATTATAATTTAGCCAGAGAATCGAGAAACTAATATGGTGGGTGATCCGTATGAAGAAGATGAAGATAAATTGATGGAAATTGCTAGAAAGTTTGAAGAGAAATATGTAAGTCAAACTTTTGTATTTGTAATAAATGCCTCCATTAATTACAATTGGAATGTAATAACTTAATTTTGATACAACTCCTATAAATATGATTATAGAGATACATGCTGAACTGATTTGGTTAAGTAAAAACCTCTGCTCGTTAATAACTTTTAGACAGATGCTCTGTTCTTCATTGTCCTTGGTAAGAACCTCTCAGTAATTAAGTTGTGTTTTAACATGCTCAATTTATTAGGTATCTTTAAATTTGCATATTCTTTCATACCCGTGTGCAGCCATCTTGAGGTTGATTCAATATGACTTTTATCTACTTGCTTCTGTCAGTTGCTGCTTACATGTAGTGTACTTATCCCTTTGTAAGCTTATATCTAAGGTACTTTGATTTAAATATCTTGTAATTTGCCATAGTAGCATTCTTTTAATATTTAATTAATTTTTTTAAACTTTCTTAGGTCAAACTGCATTTCTTTGTAACAGCCTGTCCACACCTGATTGAATGAGATGTATAATTTTAATTTAATTATTGAAATAGGCATGTGGTCTGAACTTGTATGTTTTTATATTGTGTGTGTATGGGCTGTTGTCACTTATGCTGTATTTATACATATATTACTTTAATAATGTGTCTATTTATCTTCTGGCTTTTAATATTTGGTTATAATATTAATTTTTCAATCTGCATTTGTCAATAGGGTCCTAAAGTTGGAAGAAAAAAGGAGAACTTTGGAAAGTGGGAAGATTATGTAGATAGAGGCATGGGGTATGATGAAACTGATCCTTTCATAGACAACGATCAAGCAGTAAGGAGAATCACATTTGATGCAAAAATAAATGAGTTAGAAATTTTAGTTTTAAAGAAGGTAAAAAAACAAAACAAAAAATTGGTGCTCCATAAGTTTTGTAATTTGTTGTCGTGATAATTAGTTTTATCATGATATAAGCAGGCTTTTAAGACTCAACAAACAGCATTACAATAATCATCCCCCTTTCCAGGTGAGCAAAACTGCAAGTATAAAAGGTCCAATCCAGTTGTAAGAGTCTTTATTTTTGTCTTTTCTATTAGCAGGTATTCAAGCTTCCCCTAATAAATACATTCTTCTATAACTGCAAATATTATTTCAAAGGTCTGTTCAGACTATGCTGAAAATTTAGCATAGTCTGCTTTGTAAAATTGCACAGTTGGCAAAAATTATGGAAACATAATTTTATTGGTTAAGTTTGATTGAGATATATATATTTATGTATACTTGTACTGAAAATTCAAGGAAGTTTATACATTTATGTGCTTGGGCATTGTTATATGGAATTTGTAGTATGTTACGTTCTAACCTGATCTTCTACATAGATACAAATTTAAAGAAACAGTGTCGTGACTAATAGAGAACAGCATTATTACCAAAGGCTTCCATTAAAAGCATGAATATTTTTCTTTATATATTTTTAAACAAATTTGAAGCAGACAAGTTTGTCCAGCTTGGAACTCCTAATTTTTGTCATTTAGTTTTATTCCATGACTTGTGAGTACAAGGTAAATATAACCAAGAATATACCAAGCAGTGATGTCACATTAGGCTTATGGAATGTGTCAGGCATTTAGAATTTAGTCATATTCTTTAAGGTCCCCTATCATCTTTAAATCTCAAGAGTTTACTACATGTTTGTATTGTCTTAGATACTTGTTCTGGCACAAGTCCTTCAAATCTACTGCTGTGATTTTCTTTGTGCATAAACTTCAGAAGTTGCTGTTTGACTTTTAGAATCTCTTCGCTTGATCCATCATCAGCCAGTCCTAGGTGTTTGTATAACTCTCAGTGTCAAGCTATGAGATTATCATGTTTTTTTTTTAATATTTGAATACAGTAAAGTTGTAACACACTGCATGGGACAACTATGTTTACTAAAAGATGATCAGAATTGGTAGCATTAGAAGTGTGACAGGAAAAATCTCTTATGAAATAATTTTTTTCACCCCTCAGTTCTTTGTTATGCAAACCAAGTGTCAAGTTCAGTAGATTATATTAAAACAATTTTGAATATGCAAATCTAGTTATATGGCAATCACAGCTGACATAAAGTTGCAGTGAAATGACATGTATCAGAACTACATTTTGACATTGTCTGGCATTTTGTAGGTGGTGTGATGCCACTGAAAACTGATCACGCTGTGGGAGTATGTGTAACAACCTTTTCAATTGCACAATATTCATATACTAAGACCATAAAGTTATATTCATATTGGAGATGTAGAATTTCAAAGACAGGGCTATCCCTTGTACTTAATGGTATTAGAAAACAAAGGGTTATAGATTATTTTAGGGTACCAGGACCATTCAGAAAGGGACTTGCAACAAATTGTACTCCTGCCATGATAAGCAAAAAATTATACTTTGTTATGGGAAAGAATCCATGAAAACAAAGGTCATTGGCAAAATTCATCCCTGTTGGCCAGGTAGCAGTACTTAAAGTAATCATGAAAAATCTCTGTATGGAAATCTGACAAAAGTCAATTGTACCAGAGCTGATTTCATGTCATAACTGTTCAATTGTTGCATACATCAAACAACTGGAGAATAAAATAGAGATTCCATATGAATGCATGCTGATCATGTTGTTTAAGTAGTACTTATGGATTTCTGTGCAATTGTACTGTTGAAATGGGAACTGGAAAACCATTGTTCTCATGCAGTAGATTGCTTGTGGAAAACTTGCAGGAAGGAGTGTTGTGCTTTGGACATGAAAACCTTGTGATGGAGCTTTTTGCAATTGAAATTGTGATGCAGGACTATTGTTAAGATGCACAATTATCAAATAGAGCATGATTTTCTGTCATGACCTTGCTTTTTTTGCTTTTGTTCTCATAGTACATATAGTACAGAAGTTGCCTGGTCAATTTTGTTCGTAAAGAATTTGGTGTTTTAAACTGCATTAATGTTTCCTTGTTTTCCTCTAATATTTGGGTTCAGTTTATTCTTCACTTAACAGTTCTGTGGAAAATTTTTGCTTTTCTGCTTGACACCAGTGTACCTAAATGCTACAGATCTTTGTATTTTAATTACTGGGTACCAGATAGTTTTACTGTGTAAAACTTTCAGGTTGCTTCTATTAATCTGTTTATATCATATTGGAAATGCTTAATGCTGCCAGTTCAATGTATTATATCTCAAAAACAAGGGCACTGGATTCCTTGTATTATTCTTTGACAGTGTGAAATTAGTATATAGTTAATGGATAAAGTTATTTATTTAATAGAAGTATTTATCAGAGCAGGAAAATTTTTATCAGATGGTCAAAAATTAAAATTCTTGTGCATTTTTCAAGTAGATTTTGGGGTTAACCTGATTAAATTAACATTCTTATATTTGTTCTGTTGCTTCAAGATGTTTTTTGTAATTGCTTTGTGCTGATTATGCTTGTTTCTGTAACATTGTATTAAGGACTGGTCATTACTTGATTTGAAAACTAGAACTGCTGAATAAGGAAATGTTCTTATAAAAATTTTGATCAGATTTCAGAAATTTTGTATAACTTTGTAATGCAATAGTGTATACCTCATTCTCATTGTGTGTGTGTGTATATAATATGAATGTATGTAATTTGTTTTTGTAGTACGATGAGCTTGTTCCATCAACCTTGACAACACAGTATGGAGGATTTTACATTAATACTGGGAACTTGGACTTCAAAGTGGTTACGGATTCTGACTCTGAAGGCAATCAGAGTGAACATAAAGTTAACAAAAGAAGGGTTAGTATGCGACTTGTGCCTCTGTATCTTTGATCCATTGCATACTGGGTTTTGATGTAATTTAAAATATTTTTCCAAAGTTAGATATGTGTGTGTGTTAAGAATTACTTTGGTTGGCAGTATTTTATCTTTTGAGATAACCCAAAGATATTTTGGCTTTTTGTACGAAAAAAATAAGTATAAACATTTATGTGAATGATTCATTTTAATGAACAGGTAATAAGTTGTAATATTTCATGTGATATTTGAAAATAAATTACTTTTTTAAGTTTATTCAGACCATAATTTTTCAAGAAGTTACAGATTCACACATCATAGTTAAGTAAAAATAACTTCTTATGGCAGCACCATTTTAATTATAGGAAGAATAGCATAAGAGATCGGAACAGATATTTTGCTGGAAATAATTAAAACCCCATTTTTGCATGTTCTTCTGTAAATATACATAAAGAATGGAAATTTAAACAATATTTTTAAAAAGTTGTATAGGTTGGATTGAATTTAATAATTGTGTGTTTGAAATAATTAGTAAAACTAAAGGAATGGAGGCTTATGTCATTTACATTGATTGTAACAAATCAAGTACACTTCCAGTAAAAATAAAATCTGTTTATTATACATGCTTACATAATTGAGAAAAATCTAAAATAAATGAGTTAATGCTTTCCATTGGTGTAAACAGTTTTTCTTAGATACAAGTTTGTATGTAAATAGTGAGAAAAACTGTGTTGTTGTTACGGAAGTTTTACAAACATGACAAATTTCATGCTTTTAAAAGAATTCTAAGAAAATTTTCGAGAAGATATGTATCACTTCTAGAGCTGGGCGATAAACTTGATTAATCAATATAATTGATTACTTATTGTTATTAATTACATTGATAAGTGTCATATAAAATAAACTATTAATCAAAATTATGATTAACTTGATTAATGTTATGCAAATAATCAATTAATCAATTATTCCAACTACAAGTAATCTAAATATTGCCATTATGGTTTCCCATGATTATTTTTTACTAGTTCAAGGTGGTTTAGCTTAATTGATGAGTTTTATGACCCACAAAAATAGTCCTCTGGTGGGAAAGTGGTAACACTAAAATCTGAGGTTTGGTTATCTGTAGAGGAAATAGCACACACACACACACACACACACACACACACACACAGCCCCCTTTGTAGGTTTGGGCCAAAACAACAAAAATAATCATGATAATAATCAATTAATTGAAGTGAGTGATTCTGATTATTACTATTTTTGATTAATCCAACTCTTGAAGTCTAACATGAGAATGATCACTTCATGATCAAATTCCACTTATCTCCCAGCTCTAATCATTTCATGTTTCATATTTTATTATGTACTAAAGAAGTGTGATGATTAACTTTGCTTGCTGTAAGGTAATAAAGTATAATTGATATTTTTTCAAATTGAAATGTTAATGCATTTGTGAAACTGACCATTCTAACCAATACGCTGTTCTGGAATGTTATTTCTGAGTAATCTTAAGAAATTTGAATTATTTAAAAATTGCATTGATGTATTTTGTTTGAAAAATTATAAAAAAAAATAGATAAAGTTCCTTTTAATTATATATAAATATCACAACCATTCTTATTCAATGTACATGTGAGTGCACTATTGTTCCACTAGATTTAGAATTAAAAAGTATAATTCTCATTATTTTAATTTCTTTTGCACTACAAAATAATGTAGTGTACAGATGTCACATTTTTCTAATATTTATCTAGGTAATTTTATAAATGGAGGTAGTATAAGCTGAGATGTGAATTTATTGGTATGATCTCATGTGTACGTACCTTAAGGAAGGGTTTTTACAAATGTGCACGTGTCTCGACTTTGAAAACAGATGTGTTGTACAGTTAATGATTATGAAGGAGAGGAGAGAAATTTCAAAATGTCATAAAGAAATGCCATTCTTAATGGCATTTTTTTCATTTCCAAGTTTTAAAATAGTAATCCAACAATGTCACACCTGAAAGTTGAACATAGTGGTTTTAGAAATAGTTTCCTTGTATAATTGGAGACCTGAGAATTTTTATTTTAGTTTTCGGTGATGTTTTTCTTATTGCTAATGCTGGATTTGTGTTGTATATGTTGGAAAGCTACATAAATATTTCTATATAACAAAAATTCAGGTAATATTATTTATAATTAGTGAGTATGGGAGCCTTAAGGGTTGTCAATGGTGTACAATCATAAGTCTATACATATCATACAGAATTTGCATATTTATTTGGGGGTTACATAAGTGTTTCAGATGGGGGGGGGGACGAAAATACACACACACACATGCACACATCCACCAGAGTAATATAGTAAAAGACTTTTATTTTAATTAATATACATAATATATATGTTTGCTACTTATATCATCGACAAATTTTTTTTTAAATTTGAAAAGCTAAAAATTGATACAGGTACTAAATTAAATTATTTATTATTAATATTTTTTTACATGAGTATATCTAATACTACTCAAACATTTGTACCAAATGTAATACAATTTCATTTGGTAGTTTTGGTTTGTGATCTTAAAAATTGAATGTTTGGAATCTAATGCACTTGAGCTTTACCAGCATTAAAAAGGTTAAAACTTTACTATTTTTAAACTTGTTTTGAGTTAATGTAAATGTGTAGTATTATCTTAAGAAATCAATATTTAATCAAAAAGAAATTTTTCAATTGAGTTACTTAGGAAGCCAAGTTGATTTTAATTTTTTGTTAAATGGTTGCTAAATAAATGTAAATTACTTTTCATTCAAAGAGTGGGGTTTCATTTTATTTTATTAGTTTAAATGCAGCTAAAATTGACACTCCTATTATATTTTATGACCCTTTTATTTGCAGAGAAAACGGCATAAAGATACAATAACGAAAGATAACAAGAAGCGAGCTAAATTAATAAAAGACAGTGGAGATGGTTCACTGAAAAAAGCAAAGAAACATTTGAGGTAAAATTTAACAAATATTTCCCATGATTATATTCTGATATTGTTTTCTTGTAAAAGCATCTTTCAGAAAGTTTAACTGTAAAATTTGTAAACACTTAATACATATGTACTTGTTCTGTGAAACTAATTTGATACACTTTACTTGCAAATAATTGTGTAATATCTTCCAGGCATGTTATATGGACATTTGGAGAGGAAAATAAACTAATCAAAACACACTTGTACTCAGAATGGTTACTGGTTTATGAAACCATAAGAGTGTGTTATGCTACAGTCAAGTCGCAACTCAAAAATGAAGATGCATAGAAATATCACCATCATTAAAACATGATGTTTGCTAAAATAAAGCAATACATGTACTATGTATTTTGTGTTCTATATGTTTATCAATTAGTTTGAACAAAATGATGACTTATATGAAGATAATGGCATAATATACCATTTTGATTGTGCAACTTGTATAACTATTGATGAGATGTAAGATAATAAACTGATAATTTTATTGTACATATAGCTGATTTTTGTTTATCAGTGGCATCCCAGATCTTGTTAGTTTCTACTCTTACATTTATTCAATAATGAATGCTATTAAAAGTGTCCATTGTATTCAAGGTGACTGACTTGACTATCCATATTATTGAGACTTCATTACCAATGCATTCAGGTCAATGAAGTGTTTCTGTATTAGTACTGAATTAGCTGCAATTAATTAAAATTGGTATATGCATGAACACAAAATGTAAATTAGAGTCTATTTACTGTACAGTGTATAATCTTCAAATAATTACCTTTATTATAATAATTTTGTGATGCAGTTAAAATTAAAAATGTATAAAGGTTCAAATTTTTATGCAGAAGTAATCTTAGATGTGTTCTGAAATATGCTTTATTTTTGTTGTTGCATACTTTGTATGTCAATGTGTATGCATTCATAATTTGATTACATTTTCACCTTTAACCTATACCAAACTTTTCTTTAATTCAAATCTGAAGCATAAAGTTCTGTATAATGTCACTTAGCATTACGTAACATTAAGATTTTGAATATACAGTGGTTACTTATTTTTTACAGTGCCTTAGAAAAACAGAAACGAAAGAGTCAGCCTACAGTTGCTGAATTGATACAGCAGTATAAATCACAAAATGTACAACAGGAATGTCAAGAAGTCAATGAGGAATCTCCTGTTGCTGTATCACTTAACATGGATGTTGCTCTTGATGCTGAAGAGAATGTCAAGATTGAAGATGCAATTGAATCTGTGATAAAGGCTGCAAGAGAGGAAGATGCCAGTAGTGGGAAGGTGATTTCTACCACAGCTAGTAGTGATAGTGAGGAATTGAGACAAGCTTTAGATTCCATTGATGCACCTAAGTTGCCTGAAAATCTTCCTTCTGATCTGGATGAGTTATTAACTAATATCAAACAGGTAACTAATTTGAAATAATTAAGGTGCTGTAAGTAATTCTTTGTGTTATGGCAGCTCTGACTTTTTCCTTAATTTTCTGTTTCATGCTATGTACACAATATTTCATTGTCTGTTTAGGCAAAAGATGTTAAAAGTTAACAGAAGTAAACTGAATAAGCATTGATTTCATGTTATAGTTAAGCACACAAAAAATACATCATAAACATTGAATTAAATTCATACTTGAACACAAAAGTTCATCATAAGTTAGATAAGCTGCTTTTAGTACCCAGCTTTACACACTGAATTAACCCTTATAATACGGGTGGGTGGATTCCACCCAGCTCATATTCCTGAAAAAAACCATAAAGTAGTTATACTTTAACTTTTTAAAATGTGCACATATTTTCATGAAATTTTGCAGGTTATCAGTAAATATTACAACGTATTCATGTACAAAGTATCAGATTTTTTTATTAAGTTTTAAATTTTGTAATTAATTATTTGTTTGTATATTTTTTATTTTCGAATATTGACTATCCAACATGTGAAGCAATTTTGATTTTAAGATTAAAAATACTTTTATACATCAGAAAATTGTCAACTTCCAAATGTGGAATCTCCATAACCTCCTAATATCCTCCAGATAGTTATCAAATGTTTTTTTAGAGATAAACTTTATATTTTATCTGTTATTTTCACTATTGTATGTTTTGTATGGATTTGTTCAATTCTATTGACCTTGTAACCATAAAAAAAAAAAAATAGATATAGAGATATAAATTAAGTTTTTTCATTCTAGAATTACTACAAATTATAACACAAAACAACAAATATTTAGTCTAAATATCTTTAATCTTATAATGTTTCACATATATAAGAATTTATTATTTTTATTTTATTGATGTTTTAACAGTGTCTAACTAATGTTACAGAAATTGAATGACAAGACGCATGTGCACTCACGTTACCGTATCCAATAATATAAAACTGGCCTGTACAAGGTGGCCTGTCTTGGCTGTGTTCTAGTAAACTAGTATTTTGTAAAATACATTTTGGTTATAACACATTATATATGCATACATTATTACTATTTACAAATAAGTTCATAAATTTCAATTATTTTTCTTAAAACGTAGAACAGTAAATATAGAAGTATAGAAAACAATTATGTCTTCCAGTTATGAACTTTGTACTCATTTGCAGTTTGCCTTAACTTACCAAACCTTATCAAATTTTGCACATGAAGAATGTAAAACAAAATATTTTTTTGTAGGTTTTATGTATGTATTTTGAAATAACAAAAAATCCTAAATTACTATATAAATACCACAGAATTCTACTGTAATTTATCAGGCTTAGTAGGTAAGCTGTATTTGGATTTAAAAAAATGATTTATCAAGTTCAATAATGTCTTACCTTACCAATTGGAATCTGCCATGGAAAGAAAGGGTTTCCCATGTAAATACTTTGCAAAGGCTCAGAGAATCACGTGGAGGACATTCTGAGCTTTCGATTGGTTATTCACACGTCATAGGCAGAAGTAGGTGTATGTAAGCATTTCCAAAAATTGAAAGAGGTGGGCTGGGCCACTGTGTTTGATTCACTAAATCAATTGATATCTCAGCAAATAGAAAAGATAGGAGGTTCTTGTTTTATATACTAGCTTGTCAATATCAGTAATTTGAGTTCCTAATTTGTAAAAAAAACAATAGATTTTTTTATTTGGACATAAACATCTAATCTGACCAATGCTGCATTCAACATACCACGTGACAAACAGAAATCGATACTTAGGATTTTTTTTATATATACTTTTAAATTAAGAAATTAACTAATGTATAATATTAAAATTTGAATTATAATTTACAATTTGATACCAAACTTATTGACATGCATTCATAAAATAGTAGTTCAATAAAATTTTGAATATAAGTCCACAAATGTGATGACATGGCCTTTGACCCATCTCAGTAGTGTTAACATCCTACTTGAACACAAAAACTCATCATAGGTTAGATATGCTAATTTTAGCACCCAGCTTTGTGCATTGAATTAACTTTATTATTGAACACAAAAGCTCATTATGAGTTAGATATGATGCTGTGCAGTATTTTCACTAAAAACTTCTGCATGAATATACTGGTTTTTATGAATTTTTTTCAAATCTACATGAGAGCTATCTGTGCTAGCCATCCCTAATTTAGCAGTGTAAGACTAGAGGGAAGGCAGCTAGTTATAAACACCCACTGCCAACTCTTTGGCTACTCCTTTACCAATGTATAGTGGTATTGACCATCACATTATAACTCCCCCCACTGCTGAAAAGGTGAGCATGTGTTTGGTGTGACGGGGATTCGAATCCATGACCTGCAAATTGCGAGTCGAGCGCCCTAACCACCTGGGCATACTGGGCCATCCATGAATATATGGAGTGGAAGTGTTGACTGCTCTGAGTGCAAAGTGATTTTCATGTTAAGATGAAAAATACTTTTCTGCATCTGAAAAATCTCAAATATTATTTGCGTAATCTTTAAAACCTCCTAAGTAAACTTAATTTTTTTTGTTAGTAAAAACTTTATTTTTTATCTGTTATTTTCTCAACCCTAATTCTATATTAGGTTGGTAAATTTGACAGACCTCCTAAATTACCCTTGTTTTGTTTTCTATAATGACTTCAAATTGTAACATGAAACTACATTTGTTTATCCTAAATAGCTTTAAACTCGTAACAGTATACATCCATTTATACTTAAATTTCATTGTTTTATTACCCTTTGAACTGTAACTAACTGATATTTCTGCCATAAATCACTTGACGAACTTGGAGCTTCTGTTACCTTATCGAATCTAACAGTTCACAGACTGTCCACCCCTTTGTTTCCTCTGTCTCATCTATTTTCTTTTTTGTGTGTGGGGGGGTCCCCATTCCTTGTTTTTTACCCTTCCCCTCAACATCAGTCTTTCTTGTATTTGTTGGTATTGTGGGGTCTTTGCTTGCCAAATTCACAAATAGTGGCTGGCATTCTTTTCTTTGACTTTTTATATCTGTCAGTCCATTCTGGGATGTTTCCTCTTCTCCTACAACCCTCCTGTTATGAAAGGCTGTTATGGTAGCTTCCTGGTTGGGGGGAGGACTTGTCTTTGTATCTGGGTCCTTTCTCACACCCACTTGATGTTATGTAATTTTGGACATTCTCTTCTTCTTTTGTCTCATCTGAGTTCAGCCTATATTCTTTGCCTACAAACTATGGCTTATCTGTTCACCAGGTTTTACATTCCTTGTTCTCTCTCTGCATGAGATGTTCTTTCTGATTGGGGACTCTTGTATCTCCTATAGTGGCTCTTGCAAACCTTGGGTTTTTTTTTTTTTTGTTAGGTCCTTTATTCTCTTTCGTGAGCCTCTATTCTAGGAATTGTTACAGTGGCTGGACCAAGCCCATCCTACATACTACATTCCTTTACCACCTCTCAAATCAGATCTCCCTCTTCTTCAATACTTCTCTCTCTCAGATTGAGGTACAATTTTTGTGTGGTACATTGGAATAGTGTCTACTCTCCATCAATGTGCTATACCTTGTCTGTCTCTGTTAGGCAAGTTCCCATTTCTGTTCCTACTAGCAGTTTACTTGGCCATTTTCCTTTCATTCTTTTCCATGGCCTTTCTTTGCTGTTCCCATTTCTGTTCCTAACAGCAGTTTACTTGGTTATGTTCCTCTCATTCTTTTCCGTGGCCTTTCTTTGATGTTCCCATTTCTGTTCCTACTAGCAGTTTACTTGGTCATGTTCCTCTCATTCTTTTCCATGACATTTCTTTGCTGTATCCATCCTTGTGGCTCCTGCTTCAGGGCTTTTTTGGTTTATAGGTGTTGTATAAACACTTCTGCACCTGTTTTTAGCACTTGCTGGGAATTTCCTTGTTTTCAAGCTACCTCTCTTGGCCAGTCCTTATCCTATCAGTGGAGTAACCTATATATCCCCCTAGATCTTCTGTTGGCTTTAATCTTGGTTGTACATGTCCCTCTTGAACACCTTGCTACCCTTTCTTACTCCGGGCTTCTTCTCTTACAGTCCTCTATTTCTCTTCTTTCAGCCCTGGCGGTCTGTTTTCTCAACCATTCCTGGTCTTACCACCTTCTCTGCATATACTCCTTTATTCAGCTGATCCTTCTAGACCTTGGATTTACACACTACTGTCTGTCTTGGAATCTTTTGTTGGCATCTCTCTCTGACCATTTTGGCATTGATGTGCTCATTTATTGGACCTTCCTCTCCTTTCTTCATTTTCAACTCTCCCTATTGGTTTGCACTTTCACACTTCCCTTCTTTATTGAGGGTTATCCTCTCTCTACCCTCATGCATGGAATTTGCCTGGTCTGTCACCAATTGCACCAGACTGTCCACTACTGTACTATTATTCTTGTCACTTTTTTCATGTCCTTCCACTGTATTTGTCTACTGCCTTTGGTGAGGGGTTTTTGTCATTGGTCCTTCTCTCACCCATTTCCTCAAGGAGGTACTTATATTCACCACCTTTTGTTTTATTTTACCAGCCTGTTTAGCAAAGGATTCTCTGTGTTAGCCTTTCTTTGTTGTTGGGTGACAATGTTCATGGCTTTTCTTGTTTCTTAATACCCAAATGTTGTTCTTATCTGTTCCACTCTTTTTGTTCTCCTCTTTTGCCTGACTGAGACCTTGTTTGGGATTTGCTCAATCTTGTGCATGCCCCATATGAGCTGTTGCTTTCTTAGACTTTGACCACTTGAGACTAAACCATACTTCTTTCCTTTCTCCCTTCCTTCTTTCTCTCTCTGTACTATTGGACAATTTGGACCTGGCTTGGCTCATGTGTCTGGTTGGACAGTTCCATGTGCCTTATCACAGACTTCTTAATTTAATGATCCCATTCTCGACTGTCCCATCCTGGGACCCCTAATTTCAGGAACCACATTCATTCTTCCTTTCTAGGATGGACCCATTGACTTATCTGTTGACATTTTCATCTCAGGATGTTGATACACTCATTCTGTTCATCACCATTTTCATTCTCTTCCACCTCTTCTTTGCTGGCTCTTAGATGAGCTTTGTCAGGTGGATACATGGACTTTCTTCACACATCCATCTCCATTTCTATACCTTCTGGCTTCTACATGTTGCCGTTATACCTTCATCTCACTGTCTTTGAGTGGTATTTGCACCATTTTCCTTTTAGGATCCCTCTTTCATTTAGTAGGATCTAACTAGATGGCTAGTATTGCCTTCCAGGGTATATCTACCCAAAATCTGCATCAAACAGGATAACGGAAAGCGCTCATACTGTCTGCCATGGCTCTACACATGCCCACTGTGAGATGGGATGTTCTGCAAGACTACTTAAGGTTTTCACTATAGGGTTTCACAGTCACCCATTGCAGTCTTCAGTAAAATACCTTTTCATACTGAAGGACAGATTGGGATCTGAGCACATTCTCTGAACCTCCCCTTCAATGATTGGAATATGGGAGATCCTTGCCACTTACCAGTTCCTAGCTATCGGGGCTAAAACAAGGGGTCCCAATACAATGAGAAGTGGGGCTATTGTGACATTGATAGTGTAGTGCTGGCCACTCCATATATATATATAAATCACATTCTACATATGGGCTGATGATGCAGATAATCATACTAATCCTTTCAATACCTATATCTCGCAAGTTCTTCTCCTGCAGCTAGTGTCTGTTCAATGGAATCGAGGTGAACAATCTATTACTGGTCTGTACTACAGTGCAAACATATGTTGATTCTGCAGCTGGCATGAGGCCTGCAGAGTCAGACAGTTGAATAGAGGTGTATAAATGTATCCGTATTGTAACAACATGATGTGTTGGTGCCCTCCTCCTTTAGCTAGCATGTGACCTATAAAGACTGGTGGTTGAGTTGAGGTGAACACACTATACTGATGCATCTTTTACATATCCGACTACTCCTGCAGGTGGTAAGGAGAGACTTATAGTTGAGTAGAGGTGTGTATAAGTATCCATACTGAAACAAACTTGTACAGTTCCCTCCTCATGCAGCTGGTATAGGTCCATAAGAGTCTGATTGTAGAGGATGTTAGCACACACAGTACAGTCTGAACAAGCCCTTTTCACTATGTATATTGGCTGATTGATATCTTGTGTGTAAGTATTTGAAAGGCCATGTCCCAATTTCACCCAACAAAGCAACAAATATCTGGCTTAGTTGCCTCTCTTATTTCCTATGCTAGCTAAGAGTATACCCTGGATGAAATGTAGTTTCCCATGGGTGTGCCCCTATGGAGCCCCTGCTATCAGGATGTCATACCCCTTGGGCTTTCTTTGGATGCTTTATCAAAGGGACTCACCTAGGTAGCTTTTGAATTAGTCTCTCCACCACCTCTGTGTGTGATTATAGCTAAACTGTGTGTGGAAGTGAGTATTTGTTTCAGAAGTTAACATTTTCCTTCCCTGAAAATGTATTTTTGACTGATATTCCCCTCTTAACACGTTCCCACTCATCTTCCTTACTTCTGATGCACATTTTCTTGCTTGCCTCATCAAAAAATTGATTCACAAGTGCAAATTCATAGGGGGAGCTAGTGCACATGGAGGAGTGTCACCCCCTTGTTGGTGGAAGGCTTTTGCTGCATGATGACATTATCATGCAGTGACACAAATTCACATGAGATTAAGTGGGAGTTTTCACAAGGCTAGTGACATACAAATCTTTTGGGAGGATGCATGAAAGAGCTGAGGAAGGTAGATAAACTGTGTGTGGTGGTTATTATCTATCGGAAATACATTTTCTGGGAAGGAAAATGTTAACATTAGAATGTAGCTCATAATACACATTTTTATATCACATAAGTCTTCTTAATTTCAAAGAAAATATTTAAAAAATTCTTAATCTTTGTTATATGACATACAAGCACTTACAAGTTTTCCCTTTTAGTTTGTATAACTGTAGAAACCCAACGTATTTACTATCATATTTTAGATACAATCTGTAAACAATTCTAAAGTCCAATGTTCAGTGTGAACTTGTTAACACCTCTATTTACTGAGATATAGATAACTTTTATCAATCCTTAACTTCTGCAGGTTTTTTTAAAAACTACATCATTTTATTTGACATACTTGTTTATAACCAATAAGAAGAGCATATTTACTTATTTCAAGTTACAAGCTTGCAATGGTCTTTTGAAATTTGTGACAAATATAAGTTAACAAGACATTTTGATTGTGTTACATGGCAGTAAGGGAAGTTGATGCTTATAGCATTAACATTTTTTGTAATTTTGTTATATCTTGGTTAGAAAAATTGTTAAATTGCAATTGTTTTCGGAAATTTTTTTTTTAGTGATTATTATACACACACACACACACACACACACACACACACACACACACACACACACACACACACGTGTGTGAGTGTGTGTGTTTGAAAAATGCATATTCAAAAGGTAAATTCACTTCTCTTTCGAGAAAGACTTAAAAAGAATTCAGGCTTAAATAACTACAAATGCAATAACCCAAAGCTGCATGTATGCATTCACATTTGCATAATGTTTACAATGTAATGTATTGCTCTTCGTACATGAGGGAAGCCGAATGTCTTACAAGCCAGGCAATAAACTTATAAATTTAAAAATAAACTATATGCAAAAAAGTATACAGAAAGAATTGTGAATGTTATAAAATCAGATTTTGAAGACGTCAATTATCGAAGAAGAACAAAAAAAAGAAAATTTTCATAATATTCAATATTTCATTTCAGTTTCAATCTACATTAATGATTCAGCTACAATTAGTGCTTTGTAGAGAAAATAAAAGATAAAATATAAAATTCTACGTTAAAAACACATGATTTTCATTTCAGAGATTCTAGAGGTTATAAAAAGTTAAATATAAAAACTGTAAGATGGAAAAAAGTATTTTTTATTTTTTAGCAGTCAGAGTAATGAGTCGGACTGACTCAGTAATTTCACAGAAATATTTATAGAAATATTTTATTAAAAATTCTGATTTTTGGGTACAAAATACTTTTTTACCAAATTTTATGAGGGTATACTTAAAAAAAAATCATAAATCTATAGCTTCTCAATAACATTGGCTGGTCCATTGTACCAGAGATGTCCAGTTAAGGCTAAACAACCAAACCACCTGTTACTGTCGATAGGATCTTGTCTAGTCTAACATGCATCTTATTTCTCATACCCAACCATTAGATTATAATAGACATTGAATAACTGAATTATTGGAGGAGTGTCCTGTAAACAGCACAATCAAAGATTCTAGAAGTTCTGTTAAATGTTGTGTTTTCATGAAAATGAGACTTTGGTTACTTTACAATTTTTTCTGATATTAACTTTTTTTCTCATCAGGCTGCATATTTGTCTGGAGAAGGAAAATGCAAATTTTTCTCTGGAGATGTAAACATTATGCTTCTAAAGTAAGTTGTATTATTTATATATTACCATTATTTTTACACTGTATGTTTAAAGTGCTCTGAATAAAATTCCATATTTTTTGTGTGAAAATCATTTGAGGATTTACCTATAAGAAATAAATTCTAAATTAGATTTTCATGAACTGAAAATTTACTTCTTGGTTTGGTATCAAGCACTTTTTAGTTTCATGATAATTGTGCAAGCTGCAGTTGTGAACTTCAGTCAGTATATTGAACATTCAAGTATATATTATTATCAAACAATTACTAATGTAACTAATGTGAATACCATATAGTTAATTTGCTAAGGATTGATTTTGTTCAGACAGTCTTTGGTTATTTTCATGGAATGATTTTAAAAGTAAATGTCAAAGTTAACATTGAACAATTTTTCTCTTCATACTGATATTTTAAACATTTTTTAAAATTGCTTCTATTATGTTGCTGGAATTGCATTTATTTGTTGTATGTGCTGTAACTAAAAATAACATGCAAGTTGCTTGAATTCTCCTTTTTTTTTGTTGACATAAGTGTAGTATCGTTTAGATTTATTCTTTCATTATGTATTAATTTCTTTTTTTATTAATCTTTATTTTTCATCCATGAGTGTTCTACTGTATTTTAGCATAGAGCTGAAGTCCAGAAAACTAACATCTAGTCAACGTTCTATGATATATGCTCACCTGGCTTCTCATCTTCCTTGTACCAAAGAAACCCTTCAAAAACGTGCCAAAAAACTGGTCATAGGCCAAGAAGATGGAAAACTCAGAATTCCAATGCAGCAACTAAAGGATGGTTAGTTTAATAGAGAGAATAAAAAATATCATCGTATAGGTTATAATTTTTTTCCATACTTGATTAAACTAGGATATTTTTAAAACAATAAGAATAAATACTTTGAGAGAGAGATAAATAAATGTAGAAAAATGGTGATAAAATAAATAAATTAGACTTGGAGATAAATCACCTTACAAATCCATGGTTGTATTTTATTTTCTTGGTGATGTTTCGAGCAAAATGCTCTTTTTCAAGCCAGAAAACAAACATGTCAGTTAATGACAACTACAGGAAAAAATACATGAGAACAGAATGCAATGTGGGATACAACCATTAGAATTAAACAATATAGTAAAGCTGAAGGAAAATGCTGGTGATTAAAAAAAAGTTATTATTAAAAATACGAGTTTACAAAGCAAAGAAAGAAATGACCTTCATTTATTTATTACCTTAAAAATATTTATTTTAAAAATTTTATAAAAAGCTGAACCATTCGTTAACACTCAGTGGACTTAAACAACCCAATTTGAAAATGAAGATCTTTTTTGGTTGTGTTTTTTTGTTGTTGTTGGAGGGGGGCATATCATACAGCAAATACTTTGAAGTGCTCAAGAAAAAGATTGAGTTCATCATCAGTGCATGTAGCTATACTGAAAACATCATAAATATATCTATAATATAAGGCAGGGAGGGCACCTGTGTAGTTATGAAATGTAATCAAAAAAAGAGGTTAGCATAGGAGGGACCCATTTTGGTTTCCATGGCTACACCCTTCATTTGTTTATAAAATTTGTTGTCAAAAGAAAAGGCATTTAATGATAAAACTAGTTCAGCTAATCTGATCAGGGTTTCAGTATGTGGGTCTAGGGTATCTCTCTTGTCATGGTACTGTTTTAGGGCCTAGAGTTCGTCTTCAGATGGAATGGAGGTATACAGCGATGTTATGTCATGTGTGAATAAAATAATAGAATCTGATTTTGAGTTAAAATTCCAATTTGTTTTGTAATGCATTTTTGGTGCCTTGAATATAAGTAGGGATTTGATGAACTAAGGGGGTTAGTACGGAATCAAGGTAACTAGAGATTAGTTCAGTAGGACAGTTGCATGTTGAAACTGTGGGTCTACCAGGATGGTTTGGCTTATGTATGTTAGGAAGATGATACAATACAGAAAACCTAGAGTATTTAAGAGTGAAAGTCTTAGCTTCTAATGGGAGTTCATTATTTCTCACAGACAATTTGTTGATATTCTTCAAGAGGGCTTTTATCACAGGTAGTGTAGAATGATTGGCCTGATAATTGTCAGTGAACTTTGTGAAGGTAAAGTTCTTTTTTTTTCCAAACAAACACTGCTTCTTTTTTGTCAGTTTGTTTTATTACAATGTCATCATGGGAACAAAGATTATATAAAGTTGTTTCTTCATTTTTAATGAGGTTTCTAACAGATGCCACAATTGTAAAATTCAAGTTATAAATTTCCTTTCAACACTTCTCACAGAAAATTGAAAATTTTAGCTCAAAATCAGATTCTATTATTTTATTCACACATGACATGATGTCATTGTATACCTCCATTCCACATGAAGACAACCTCAAGGCCCTAGAACATTACCTTGACTAAAGGTATACCCTAGACCTACATACTGAAATCCTGATCAGATTAGCTGAACTAGTTTTATTATTAAATGGCTCTTCTTTCGACAACAAATTCTAAACAAGTGAAGGGTGTAGCCATAGGAACCCAAATGGGTCCATCCTATGTTAATCTCTCTGTTGGTTACATTGAAGATTGTATATTTCATAACTACACAGGTATAGCTTATGCTATACATATATTGATGACGTTTTTGGCATTAATAATGAACTTGATCTTTTTCTACAGTTTGTTAAACCCTTTCACCCATCACTCCAATACATGTCTTCTACTTCCCACCAAACCATTTCATTTCTTGACTGATGGTGGCAATCTTGCGACATCTGTACATTACAAACTGATGGACAGACATAACTACTTATATTTTCACCATAGTTATCCTCCATATATCAAGAGAAACATTCCCAAATTAAAACTCGCCAGCTTGCATAGGCTCTACAATAATGACCAAGATTATAACAGCAAATCTATCAACATGTTCCACTTTTTCAAAAAATGTTGCTATCCTGTTTTTTCTTCACATTAAAGATAATCTACATGCTAACAATAAATGCCCAAACTTAACTTTACAAAGATTGTTTAGCTTAAATCATATTAGTAATTATATCACCAACATCACTGACAATTTAAAACTTCCAATGACACACATCTAACCTCTCTTCATCCATAAACACATTCCCCTTACACTTGTATTTCACCCATTCAACACCCAAATAACACTTTTCACATAATAACACAGGACAATACCATTGGTCATATGTATCCTAACAAACCTCTATTTTCTTATAAATGAGACATTAACATTAAAAATTTACTTGTCCATAGTCAACTTCTGAACAACTATCATCTGATACTGAAGTTAGTACATACAATTTTCAGAGGAACAGATGCAACACTTGCCCTTACATTGATCATAGAACATCTGTTAGGGGCCCTAATCAGTGTTATCTGTGAATAGTTATTTCAACTGTACATCTAAATGCTTGATTTAATGTATTCAACTGTGACCAAATTTACGTTGGAGAAACCAGTTGTGTACTTGCTTGAACTCACACGAGAACACTTGCGTTGCATCTTTATTAAAGATCAAGATAAACCTGTAGCTCAGCACTTCAACAAAACTGATTATTCCCTTGAGCACTTCAAAGTATTTGCCCTATGACATGCCCCCTCCAACACCAATCAAAGAACCACTATTGGGTTGCTTAACTCCCTTGGGTATTAACAAATGGTTCAGGTTTTTATAAAAATGTTTAAAATGACCTTAACAGTGTTTGGGTTATTTCTTTTCTTGCTTTGTAAAGTTGTTTTTCTATTTTCAATAACTTATTATCTTTTTTTAATCACCAGTTTTTTGCTTCATCTTTATTATATTGTTTTTACAATATTGTTTAATTCTCGTGCTTCTATTTCACGTCACATTCTGTTCCTGTGTATTGCTTCCTTTCAAAACATTCATGTAATTGTTATTAATTGACAGACTTGTTTTCTGGCTTGAAAAAGAGCATTTTGTTTGAAACATCACCAATAAAATATAACTATAGTTTTTTCAGTTGATGTATCTCCAAAAGTACAATAGTGAAACAACAAATTTATATGGATACAAGTTTTGACACTTCCATGTGACCTCTTCAGTCCAAGATTTGTCAAACATTGGACTTAAGAGATGTGAAAATGTCAAAACTTGTATCCATATAAATTTGGTGTTGTTTCATTATTATGGACTTAAACTTTTATTTTAGATTACTTTACATGATATTCTGTATTTATCTACTAATGGAATGATTCTTAGTGTTTTTTAGTTGCAGATTTTATGGATTTTGATGTTATGTTTTGCTAGTTTGATAGGATTAAAAAATTTAGTTTGTGCGAAATTTACCAGAAGTGTTATTTTTATTGGTTTAGTGTAGTTTCAGTTTGAATGGTAGCATCAGTAGAAAATAAATATTAGATGCTTTTTTGCTACTTAGTATGAAAATTGAATTGAAAAAGAGCTGGTTTGTAATTGGTTTTAGGAAAAATCGATTTTTACATTAAATGAAAATCAATGACTGTGGTTATTTTAGAAATGTTTTTTGTAACTTGTAAGTTAAATTAGAAATTATTATTGTAGTTAATGATAAATATTTCGGTGCTTAAATTTTTTAGTTTAAATATTTTACACCCAAGGCTCTGAAGCAGATTTGTTAGTTTTTCACATGACTGTTCTGTTCATGTGTAATAATGTTTTTTTTTCATACACCTTGGTTGGCATTGTTAGTGTTGAAGCAATTTTTGTTCAACTGTCTTAACTGTTAATATATTCATTGTCATAAAATTACACTTAAACGTTAATGAATTGTTTTTTCACCATAAGAGAATGAGTTAAAAAATTGGATGTATAGTATCAAAAGCTTGAAGTTATTTCTAAGCAGAAAACAAACTCTGGTAGTACATTTATTATTATTGTTAACATATTTCTGCAAAGTGATCTATTGACAATTAACGGCATTTAAATCTTCTTACAGTCACTTATTTTCTTGTCTATTAACTGATAATTTGCTCAAACAAAGAACAATTTAAAAATGAAATACAACTGTAATTTAAGCTACTTGAAAGCAAAATATAAAATCATATGAAAGTGATTTGAAGTTGAGTAACTTGTGGTAACATTATATTACTTCTTTAAACTTGAAGTAGATGTAGGAATGAGAATATTAATGTGCATTATTCGTGTATATTTAGTTAAAAGTAATAAAATTCAGAGTTGTATGGTTTAGCTTTAAAGAAGTTAGGAACATTGCTAAATGTGTATTAATTAGTCTGTGGCATTAGATATAATCCCTAGCATGATCTGGTGAGAACTGTAGTTGAAGCAGTATTGACACTCATCATCATAACTATTGGTAATGTAAACATCCACTAGATATGTTATCTACTTCTAAGTCTAAAATTTACATTTCTGGCTTCAAAAATTTGAACAAGATTCAGTTTCAAAATCTACAGAGGTGTTACTCTTATCCTTATGAATAAGGATATATCCTTATTGTCTACCAGAAATATATTGTTTCTTTTAAAGTTGACTAATGAAAAAACCTCAGTCAGTGTTTAGCAGATATGAGAAATTTTCAAATAAAGCATCCTCGTAGCTGAACGTGCTTGCTCTTTTAGCTGTAGGGGGCATTATAATGTGATAGCCAACCCCACTATCCATTGGTAAAGTAGCCCGACAGCTAGTGGTGAGTTGTATTGGCTAACTGCCTTCTTTCAATTCTATCACTTCAAAATCGGGTTGGCAAGTTCAACATGTTTAAGTACTGTGAAGGAACCAAGTACACTGGTATCTTAAAACAGGTACAACTTTATGAAAGAACTATCAGACACAGCCTAATTAGATGGTATAGTTTTCAAAAAATGAGAATTATGAAACTGAACTATAGGTAGTCTGTTCTTGTAATGTATGAGGTGATACAGTCTTTTCATTCAGATATAACTGTTATTATATGACATTGATACAGAATAATGATTTTTGAAAAGTAAATAAATGTTTTAAGTGCACAAATGTTGGTATTTAAATGTAATTGTCATTTTTAAAACTAGTATGTAAAAAATTGTGATTTTGCACATGGTCAAGATGATGCCAAAGCAAGCCTAAGCATAACAGAGGGTAAGTGTGATTGAGAAAAACAAATTTTACGGTAAGAGATGGTCAGCTGGACATACCTTGTATAAACCATGTGCTGATTAAAATAAATATTTATTGGGCTTCTGTATTGTGTAAATGTCACATTGTACAGTACTTTGGTCAGTATACAAAACCGTTCGGTTCTGAAAGTCTATTGCTTTCCATTTGGACACACACTTATTTAAAAGATACCATACCATTGTTTATTTGATTAAATTGTTAATCTTTATACCATTTCCCCATGTTAACTCTTTAGAGATTTTTTTATTTTAAAAAAGCAAATCTAGGCAAGTTTATTTAACCATAAATTCAGTAACTTTAGCTAATATTTTAAAAGTGAAAATATAAAGTTGATTTTTATAAATGCATACAGTAAGTAGTCAAACTTATACTGCACTTAATTCTAATGGGGAAAACAAGATGTTAAAAAATAAGTGTTTTTTTAAGTGTTTTTCTACTGGCAGCAATTTATGATTCTGCATCTATATTATAGGCTAGGAGCAAGGTCTCTTATGTGAAAAGTTAGTATAGAGTAGAGCTGGGTGATTAGTGGTGTTTGTTAATAAAGTGATTAATGGGCCCATGGTAGGGTTCCCACCAAAAGTTGTCTAAGATTTGACAGTAGGTGATGCCAACAATTGCCTACAGAAAAGACAGAGACTCATCAATAGGACACTGAACAAACTTAAAAAACAAAACTTAATCAACGAGAAGCTAGCCGAAGACTTAAGAACCAACGAAAACTTCCCTCCTCAGTTCTGCAGACTACCTGAGGTACACAAACCCAATATACCTTTAAGGCCTATCGTCAGTGCTATAAACTCGCCTTGCCATCAACTGGCTACCTTCCTAGTACCTATCCCATCTCCACTACGAGGAAACACTGAACATCACATTCAAAACTCGACAGATTTCATAAAACAACTCGGAAAGCTACACATCAGATCCTAGGATATTCTGGTCAGTTTTGAAGTTGCAGACCTATTTACCAATGTTCCAACCTCAGAAACCCTTCATATCACCAGACAATGACTGCTGAAAGACAACTCTATACCACACAGAACTGACATGAAGAAAGATGCCATCATGGAACTAATGACTATTTGCCTACAATCAACTTATTTCCAATACAATGAGGAATTCTATGAACAAACATATGGTTTAGCTATGGGATCACCACTCTCTCCAATCCTAGCAGACATTTTCATTGAAGACTTTGAAGAAAGAGCCCTTTCATCCACACCTATAAATCCAAGTTTCTACAGACATTATGCTGATGACACCTTCATTATTTGGCCCCACGGTCATGAAAACTTACCAGCCTTCTTAGAACATCTTAATTCTATAGACAAAAGAATCCACTTCACCATAGAAATAGAGGAACAAAACAGCCTACTGTTTCTTGACATACTCATCAGCAGACAAGAGAGAAAAATCACTACAACTGTATAAAGAAAACCCAGTTACACGAACAGATACCTACACTTCCAGTCGTATCATCCAACCTCAATAAAACGTTGTATAATACAGTGCCTAAACAAAAGAGCAGAAAACATTTGCGACAAGACATCCATCAAAACAGAATGCCAAAAGATTGTAGAGGGTTTTAAACAGAATGGTTACATTTCGTCCTTCATCAAAAAACTCCCTGAAGAAGACCACAATAGAAAGAAAAGATCAGAAAAACACTACCACTACTACCAGTTACCTCCCCTACCTGCAAAATTTCAGTGAAAACTCAAACACATTGTCAAGAAATTCAACATAGAAGTCTGGTAGAAATCCTACAAGACATTAATGTCCATTCTGGTAAAAAAACAACAAAAAACAACCTATCAATGAGAAGCACAAAAACGTCATTTATGAAATTTTGTGTTCCTGCAATGAAACATACATTGGAGAAATGGGAAGAAGACTTGCGACAAGAATAAAAGAAAATAAAGGCAGTACAAGACTCATGAAAACACAAAATTCAGCTATTGCAGACCATGCCATGTCAACTGGACACAAAATATTCTGGGAAAAAACTAGAATCATCGACACAGACAAATTTTGGAAGATAAGAAAAATTAAAGAATAATTTTTTGTTAACACAATTAAACCTTCACTAAACAGATTCTGGATTAGAGGTGAGTAACCAGTGGCTACCATTGGTTGAATCTACAGGAAATTTCTTCCAATCAGAAACGAGGATAAACCAACCAATCACAACATGCTCTCCACAATCCACCAGAATGTTATATAAAGACCCGACAACACCTTACACACACTGACCTGAAGATGAAAGGTGGAAGACTTTTGAAATGTTGTCCTCTACACTTGTCTCTACAACAGGCAGTTGCTATCCATTCTACATAGTTTCATCAATTTCATCTATAAATTAAGCAAAAGGAGCTTTTAACAATTTATTTTTGCAGTGGCCCAGTATAGATATCAAAAGTCTCACTGTTGGTCAGTGGTAATTATAATGCAGACTTCAATATCAGCATTATAAGAACTTGCATGGTAAAGTCTTTCATCATACACAAAGTAATAATTTCTTTATGGACATTTTACAGAACGAGTATAGAAATTCACATTTATTATTAGTCAATTATAAATTATTTATTTAATGCTATATTTTGGTTATGAAACAATTGCATCTATAATTTAAGCAATAGGAGCTTTTAAAAACTTATTTTTGCAGTGGCCCAGTGGGATACCTGTGATAAAGAGGTGTGAAGTCTAGCTTTGTCTCTAACAGAAATGGTTTTTAAGAACATTATTGTTCCTTAAGTGATGAATATGTCAGTCAGATATATAATTTTTCATTATGACAGTATAGATATCAAAAGTCCCACTGTTGATCAGTGGTAAGTTTAGGGACTTAAAGTGCTGAAATCCTGGGCTTCATTCCAAATAGTGGACAGAGTACAGGTAGCCCATTGTGTAGATTTTTCCTAAACAATGACAGTCTATCAAAAATTTAATAACAAGCATTGAAATGTACGACTTGTGATATCCTGGAGAGTTAGAAAGAAAGTTGGAAATATATAACATTTTTGTGTTTATTCTTCTTGCATTTTGACATTTTATATGATTACGTGTACATTGTAAATTTAGGTTTTTAGTTTGAAGTCATATTTGGCTTAAAAGTTGATAAAATAGATTTTGTTTTTTATAAGTATTGTCAGTACATTAATATGTGTTGTAGTTATCTGTTGTGTAAAAGCTTTGAATAATAGCTTTATAAGAAACGTTTTGGAAGATAGTTTTAAGGCTTTTTATATGCCGTTTTGACTATAATTTTTTTTTTATTTTAGCAATCAGTGAGGTAATGCCTCAGATGGAAGCAAAATATGCAATCCACTGCCAACAATTAGGTGTAGCAGAGTGAGTAATGTTCTTATTAGTCTTCAAGAATGTTAATTTGTTTACATGCCAGAGGGCTATAAATGACATTTTACTCGTTTAAAAATAACTAGATCATATATAATAAGAAACCGAGGCATTATGTACAAGATGCTTAGTGTTTAAAAGTACATAGTGCACTGTTTTTGTGTGTGTGTGTATTGTGAAAAATATTCTGAAATTGCTTGTTCAAATATATCTGTAATTTGTAAAGTGTAATAGTATTATTATTATTGTATTATAAAAGCCTTGTGGTACTATTAACTTTTTTATCAGCTTTCTGGGGTATGTTGGTTTCGTCCAGAACATCTTAACATTTTGAAAAATCTATTACTGTATGAAAAACATAATATATAAATTGGACTTTGTATGACCTAGTGGTTAGCATGCTGGGCTGTTAACTCTTTTTCATATGGGGTCGATCAATGTGACAACATCGTAAACCATTTTGTGCTTGTTATAGTTTTCATGCTATAACTTTTAAGTTAGTAGATGAATGTTAACAAAATTTGGCAGATTATAGGTAAACATTATAATGCTTTCATACACAAAATATCTACTTTTTTATATTAAGTTGTAAGGGTTGTAAAGCATTGTTTCTCTCATTCCTTTTTTTTTCTTTTCACATCTTGCCTATCTATCATGCAAAGTAATTTTTATCTTAACATTAAAATATTTTTATGCATAATATTTTATCTTTTATTTTCAGTAATTAATCACTGTACATTACTGTACTTAACATTAAAATATTTTTATGCATAATATTTTATCTTTTATTTTCAGTAATTAATCACTGTACAGGTTTGATAAATT